TAATCTTGAAAACAGATATTGCAAGTAACAACTGAATCTAATAAGTTTGCTGGATATATAATCAATTTTAAAAGTCAATTTGCTACTATATATTAGCAAACAGCACTTTAAAAGAAAAATACCATTTATATAGTAGTATTAAAACTATGAAATATTTAACAATATATCTAATAAAATATGTGCAATACCAGTATACTTAAAATGGCAGAATACTGCTGAGAGAAATAAATTGAATAAAAAATAAATGAAGACATACGTTGGGCACATAGATTGGAAGACTCAATATTGATAAATTGTGAATTCTTTCTAAGTAGGTCATGTTTTAAAGCAAGATCAAGCAAAATCTTAACATGGTTAAAATTTACAAGCTAACATAGAAAACAAAGGACCTCGAATAGTTCAAATAAGTTTAAAAAAACAAAATTGGAGAATTAAACCCACCTAATTTCAAGACATATCACAAAGCTATGGTATTTATGACAATGCTGAATTGGTGTTAAGATAGATGACTGCTATAGAATAGCACCTAGAAAAAGACACAAGTACACATACACACACACATATGTGTTGTACATGAACATATATACAACTGATTCTCAACAAATTTTCAATTCAACTGATACTCCATAGTCTTTTATACATATAATTTTATTTAAAATTTAGATCCTTATTTCCACAATCTAATAAGAGGTATAATTTTTGTTTAGAATTTTTCTGCAAACATACTACAATAAGCTTCTTTTATTTGGAGACAAAATACAGTGGCACTACTGGAAGGAATATCACAACATTACATTTTTATCTTAAAGGACAAGCAAACTTTCAGGGATGATAGTGGGATAAGCATGTTTGAGACTGGTTACCTTCTGGCAGTTCACTACATCTGGATAGTTCCGAAAAGTATAGAGAAGCTCTTGGATTTTAAAAATATCTTAAAATACATTTTAGATGAAAAAATTGTAAAAGTTCTGCTTATAAGTTTAACTTTTCTCCACAATTACAATATTTAAAACAAAGTACTGATTGATGTTTTAAGCATTTAAATTTAGAATGCTAAAAACAATTCATTCTATCCTACAATTTCAGGGGTCAGGGAATAAATTCATCCTTACTTTGTTTCTTGGATGTAAACAGAAATCCAGCAGAGGTCATCATTATTTAGTACAACCAGTAAATAAATGTGAGAGGATTCTTATCTGTACCAAATGCCTCTTCAGATTGTTATAGTTATTTTTTAAAAAAGCATGAAATAATTGATTTAAAAGCCAACTAACAGCGCATAAATAAAATATTTACTTTCTAAGAAAAACTGTAGCTTATCATCAAATTGTTTACTTGTCCTTTATGTTTTTCAGGCAAACAAAACTGCCCCTCAATGCACTTGATCTTGGTAAGCATAAGCATGTCATATTCTCCTTAGAGAAAAATCTGTACAGAATTTCACTGTATCTACCACACTTTATTTTAAAATTTCCTCTTCCACTTAGAAAATGACTTCACCACAGATTTAATTGTGTACTGGTATTAAAACATTGACACCCCAAGAACCTAATGAGAGAGGAAAAAAAAAAGTCGTTAAAATAGTCATTCATTTCTTTATAAAAATATTTGTAAATATTACATTAGTACTTTATTAATATTAAATAACATCCTAATAAAACCACTTTGAAAATGGTCCCTCTCTTCAGATAAGTAATTCCAAAATTCAAGTGACCATTAATGAAATAACATCAGGACCAATCAAAATGTCAATTAACTCATAAATATAAGAGTAGGAACCTTGGCTTAATTATGTTTACATACAACCCTAGTGCCCTGAACACAGATAGGCATTCAACACTTGTGGAATGAACAAATGAACATGCTTCCTGACATACATTTCTGGCACAAGTTCATTGAGAATAGGTTAACAAAATCTTTTACAAACATCCATTTCACTCTGAAGCAGATAGTTTTTAAAAAAGGATTTTAACATGCAGACCAAAAAAATCAAAGAACAACACAAGCATAGAGACAATAGGAAGCTTTCTTTAGGATATCTGAGTTAATGAACATAACTGTAAATTTTAAGAAATCAAATAAGGTGAAATTTGGGGGAAAATGACTTATACAGTATTGATACTTTTTTATACATTCCAGTTGAGTAAAGGATGTTAGGTAAAGTCTAATAATTACTTGTCACTAAAAGTAAAAGCACATAATGGAGTGACTCCACCTTGTTCATTAAATCAGACAGGCACATAACTTTAGCATATAGACTAAGCTAGGTGCTTCAATTAAAATTCTAGCACTTATGCCAATTAAGCAATATTTTAGAATACTATAATGATCTAGTAAGAATTGCTTTCTAAGCCAGAGGTAATGAGCTGACACTGAGATCAGAAGATTGCTTATTTGTAAGTTAAATCTCACCTCAACAAAGCCAGAACTTGAACTGTTTTCATTGAAAGGAATTATGTATTTTCAGACCAGGAAAACAAATATCTATCTGACTGCAGCCTCTTTGTAATGAATTATCAAGTAGCTATTTGAAATCCCCAGTGATAAAAACTAAGAAGAGTCATGCATCCCACTTCTTACCCTCCATTTACTATAACTACTACATTACATATTCCTTGTCCTTCTCTTCCCTTCCCTTCAAGAAGTTTCCAGGTTCTTTGTTGGTTAAAATCGAAAGTTTTGACGGTTAGGATGTTTCCACTAAAGAGGCCTACATGATTTTTAAGAGTCTCCTATAGCCAAAACACTATGAGTCTGGGCAAGGAAAGGTCTGAAGATTAGTGAAAGGATAAAATCTTAAATTAGTGAATTCTTATTGTAGAATATGGCATGAAGATTAATTAAATTCTTTGCAGAGTGCCTGAAATTTTTTTGCTGTTTTGTGCAGATTAGTTATAACTAGTTTCTCCTACTAGAACATTAAATTAGTTCCATTCTACACCGACTTTCTTTACCAATTCTTTTTCCTTTACCAATTCTATACATGTAAGTCTAATCAGAGAATCTCAACACACAAGTAACATTAGCGACATTCTCATTTCTGTTTGAATGCAAACTGTACCTATTTCTGATGTTAACATTAATAAACACTTAAACATATACTCAAATGTACAAATATCAAGCTTTGGGTTGTTTGTGTCAATACTGGCAGAAAACAGCCATTATCATAATGGAATAAATCAATTTTGTTTCCAATGCAAAATCAACTATACCATAAATCTAGAATCCTGTGGACATGTACCTCCAAAATGATATGCCCAGAGTTTTTATATTAGCACTACTGGAAGATGTGAAGATCATGTTACAAAAGATATACTTAGGATTTACTTATTGATTGATAGCCTGAAGTATCTAAAGTAAGATGCTTTAAGGTACTTAGAATTGGAGAATCTTAGAACTGGGCATTAAAGGATTTAAATTCAACTTTACTATTTTAATGACTTACAATATAAATTGTATTTATTATACTACATACAGCAAATAAATTTTTACATTCAAATTTTTCCTTTACTCCATTTCTTGAGTTATGGCCAAGACACTATGGGGTATGCATACTAAAAAAAAAAATTCAGATGAACTTTTAAAAAAGTACAGTCACAGACTTTTAAAGGTACTTGAATCTTTTGAAGATTACTGAGCATTCAGTTATGTGACTGCTGCCATCATGTGGTAATGCTATAAAATTACAATTATAGGCACAATGCTCATTTCCTTATTTTAGTTGCAGAGACAGCTAAACTATTATTAAATTTAAAAAAGGATTCTCAGTTATAATATAATCAATATACATGAGAAAATCATAAAGTTGCTGTAAATAACAATTACAGTATTAGGTCCCTGGTTTTGTTGCCTCAAATTATGGTTTTCTCAAAATGCTAAATGTCAAAAATAGTTTATACTGCAGTTTCATTATTTTAGTAATGTGAAGAACACCTTTTTGCAAATCTAATGCGTGACTCAGCAAACAAATGCTTAACATTCTGCTGTTAAATGAATACATGAAAAAACATGGAGATCTCTGCTTGTATAAATTTAGACTATAGATAATCATTTCAATTTCCTAATTACTTTTCTTGATGTTTTCATCTAAATGAGATCTTTTGGTTTTGGTAAGCATAAATAGTAGAGACAGATTATGAAATCAAAATAACTGACATCAAATTACTACTCTTGCAAACAAATTATCCCATGTACAATGTCAGCCACATAAGCTTCCAAGTACTAGATTCTGTACTTTTCAAAATGACAGTCAAGATGTACTAGAATAATTCAATCCTTAGGGACAGTGTCTTATTCATTTTAGCACCAACCTCAAGCTTGATGAACTGCTGAATGAATGCATTTCATCATACTTGTTTGAAAAGATTCACCTTTATCCTTAATAACTGCTACCTTCATATTTTATTAAGATATATTTTACTATTTTACTAGATTATCCAGAAAACCAACTTTACTATACACTTCTGGGTAAGACAGGCTGCCTGTGTACTGTACTATAAATCCTTGCTACTCAAAGAATAGTCTGTAGACGTGAAGCAGCAACAGCACTTGTTAAAGATGCAAAATCCCAGGCCATGCTCCAGACCTACTGAAGTTGAATCTAGTTACACTTAAGTAAGATTTCCAGATGATTCAAAGGGACATTAGAGATTGAGAAATATTGACTGGAAAGATCCCAAGATGGTTTATCTAAAGATTTCCACACCAGTTGGTCTATGATGCTCTGAGTTTTGGGTCAAATAACTGACCTTATTTATATAATGTGTTAGTGTAAATTAGTTTAGCGAAATTATTTCCAAAAGCTACCTGAAAGCAGATCATGAGGTAGGGGAGAGAAAAGAGAAAATGCTGTCTTAGAAAATGGTAAAATAGACATCTGAAGTAGGTTTTAGAAGGAGGGAGTATAAATAGGTAGGACACTAAAAAGTGAGATGAAGGGCACTTAAATGACTTCTCATTTGACAAACCCACCTAGTATGCTTTATGAAGTTCAGTCTGTTGAGAGACCAAGATATGTAATAACCTATCTACTATACCAGTCAGGTAATTATCATAATGACATTCCATACAAAGTGTTGAAGGGGGCAGAGAATAAAATATCTGGAGAGGATAGGAAAAAAATCTCACAGATAATGTTAAAATTGAGTATTAAAGAAAGAATGAACTAGGAAGAAAGAGTAAGGAATATTTCTGGCAGAGAGAAAACCTTATACAAAGCCATGGAGTCATCAAAGAACATAGTTGGCTGGAAAGGAACTGTAAGATGTGGTGTAGCTAGAGTACAGAATACATGTAAATGTAAGGAAAAGGAAAAAAGAGTAAGAAGCCAGGTCACTAAAGGCTTTGTTTGCCAGGTTAAGGACCCAGAACTTTTTCTTAATGGTGGCAGGGAAAAAACAATTTAAAACTGTAAGTGAAAAGATCAGATGTGCATTTTAGAAAGATAATCCCACAAAAGATATAAAGGGTAGGGCAACAAGATCAGTTTAAAGGCTCTGCAACCATCCAAGTAATAACCAAGGAGGGCCTGAACCAACGCACTGTCAAAGAAAGTATGGTACAAAAGTACTTAAGAGAAAAAACTGACAAAACCCATTAATAAACAAGGGTCATAGGGGGATAACTGACTCAACATCCTAGATGTCTCAATATTCCTCTGTCATCACAACCTTCCTTCAAGTCCCTATTACTTTTATTCCCCATTCATTTTATCCACCCACAAATGCCAAGGAAATCTTTCTAAAATACAATTCCAATCTAAACCTATAGGAAAGATCTAAATTCCTCAACATTCAAGTTCCAACTGACCAGGGATTTGAAGACACTTTTCCTTCTGTTACCACTGCTGTATTTAGCCCTCCTCTCCCACTGAAATCCTGACTGCCAGCCTCTTTGACTTAGGTCCAATTGTTTTCATCAATACTCAGTATGCTGCCCCAGCTCTTCAACCTCAAACTTGGAGATTATCTATACTTTTGATTTTGCAGTCTTGGGGTACATTTAAATTAAACCTACTGATTCATCCATAATTGAAGCTGGATCAAAGAAATCAGGCTTCAGTTCTGTTCTCTCTCGTCTGTTCTTTGATGGTGGCTATGAAAAAAAAAGTACATTGACATTTGCTCTAACTACAATGGAAACAGTAACTGAAAATATCCACATCGCTAGGTGTTTGCATGGGCTATATGACAAGTATACAATATTCCAAATACTGTATATTCAAACTACACAATGTTTAAAAGTCCAAAAACATTCATTTGTGGAAACTTACTCTAAAACACAAAATTCTGGGAACATTTTCATTTTACTTTAAAAATCCCTCTTCTAAAATAATTTTCCTTTAAAGACACTAAATTACTCTAAAGAGAACTTATATTTAATTACTTCTTTCTTTTAAAGAGAATATACCATGCTTCACTAAAAATAAGAATCACAAAGCTGGGCATATACTCCCAGCACCTCGGAGGCAGGAAGAGCACCATAAATTCAGAGGTCAGCCCGGACTACAAAGTGAGTTCAAGGCCAGCCTGAATGACATAGCAAGAGTCTGTCTCAAAAACCAAACCAAACCAAAACAAAACACCAAAAACCACAAGACCTAGCATATAGTAAGTCTCAGTTTTGTTTTGTAAGCTGCACAAGTACAAGCATCCTCAAATCCTTTCACGCTAACTCACAAAGTTGAATCAGATAATTGGCAAAATAAAATATGTAGGTGTATTTTGTATACTCTAAGCCCTAACCATATTTACTATTATTAAGAGAATATGCCCATATGTATATTTAACTTCTCAAGCTTAAGAAATTTTACTTCATTATCTGGTATGGAAATTTGTCTTGGTAACAGGGTGACAGTATGTTAATGTTACTTTGATAATGGCAAGTAAATGGAAAGTTATAAGGTGCCATGACACTTACTATATTCACTCAAAATATTCTTGAAAGACTTAATACATAACCATCAAATATCATTTGATTTTTGTAATCAAATTAGCATAAGCAACATATATCCTTTAACTCTATTTCTCAATTAATCTCAATGTAAGTAATTTTTTTTCTTTGAGACAGTCTTGCTATGTAGTTCAGGTTGGCTCTGAACACACAGTGATCCTCCTGCCTCAGCCTTCAGAGTACTGGGATGGTAAATGTGTGCCAACACATTTGGCTTCAATAAACAACTTTTATCACCTTCAGCTAAGATCTAATGCCCTCATTAACCTCATCCACTCCTCAGTCCCTTCTCATATACCCAACCCCCTGGCAACTAGTTTAACATTTTTGCAAAAATTACTTTTCGTGGCAAGTATTGGTCTACTCTAATATATATCCAACTTCATTTCCAAAGGACCTAACTGAAAGTCTTACTTCTTTAACATTCTTACCAAGTCTATATCCATTGTGTCAAAATCCATTCCCTCATTAAGATCCTCAATTCTTCCTTCTGAGGACATCATAACATCTTCAACAATTGGCTCTTCATCATCTTCCATTAGGCTTGTACCACGCCGACTAGGAAAATATAAAACAAAGTCAAGATCTGAAGCAATGACATGACTATAAACATGTAGGCAGATACTATGTGGCACTCTCTATTCAAGTATAATGAAAAATGATGGAATTAAAGGTCAGGGAGAATGATTAGGCATTGATCATGTTATCAATGATGTTGAAAATCTAATGTTCACTTGTGTAAAAATGCTATGTTCAGCCTACATTACACTGACACATTTAGTTTGATAGTTTTGATATCCCATATACAAAGTTTAATGAGAATTTCCCACATGGGAACATACAAGATACCTCAAATCCCTTTTGAAAGTATGCAGGATACAAATTAATAAATAAAATGAAAAATTACATTTTCAGAATATACATATATATATATATATATATATATTCATTACATATAACGCTAATTTTACCCTTCCATCATTCACTCCCTAATGTGTATTAGGCATGCATTCATTCATTCATTTACACAGTGCCTACTCTATGACAAGTTTCTATTGTGTCCTATGGAAGAGAAGAGTGGAGGGGAGGGGAGGAAGAGAAACAGAAACAGAAAGAGGGAGGGAGAAGGAAGGGAAGAAGGGAGGGAGGGGTAAGGAGAAAAAGTGAGACATGGTTCCTGCCCTCATGGAGCTCACAGTCTACTGGGGGAAAACAGACATTAAACAGCTAATTATGAGAAAATGATAAATATTATAATAGAACTGTATGTATCAAGTGCTTTAAAGATATACTAAAAGAAGGGATTAAATCTGTCTCAGAAAAGAATGAGCAACGGTAAGGCTGAAACTTGAACTCTTGTGCCTTATGAAACTCAAAAACCAAGAAAAATAAAATAAAAATTAAAGCTAAAAGCCCCATTATTACATAATCATGGGGGAAATAAACTAAGGTCACAAATTAGCCCAGATCAGCATAAAATAACCAACCCAATAGTGTAAATGAGTGTGACTTCTTATTTCCCAGTTTGGTCAACATTACCTTCTTCTGTTAGCCAAAGATCCCCCCCGACCCCAAAAGACACACCAAACTTCCAATAATTATTTACTAAATCTTTATAATGTATCTTAAAAACATAAAGATAACAAGACATGATATCTGATCCATGCTACCTGGACAAACATGTTGATAGTGGTCTTAATAGTCCTGATTAATTAAAGACAAATTCACTATATTTTGTGGAGACAACTGTGAAGTTATATATGTTTTGGACATGTTACCAAAGATCATAAATCCATTCTGCATTTCATTTAGAGTACATGGAAGATATATGTGACATAAACTACAGGAAAAAAGATAATTTGGAAGTATTTTCAATTATAGGGCAGACATCATCACAGAAAAATCATTGTAAAATGAAAGTACTTTGAAATCATACACAACAGATACTTATGGTGGTCCAACAGAACCAAAAGAACCCTTGGATGGCAGTTATTTAAATGAGATAATCCCTTGTAGATGACTGGGGAAGATTACTTATAATTGGGAATTAAACTGCAAACAAAAGAGTAATGACGAATGGTACTAAGTAATGAGATGCTCTAAAGTGGTGATGAAGAACACAAACAGCCTGCTGCGGCAAGTGTGCCATAGGTTCACCACCACTGCTCTAGAAGACCTTGAGAACCACTGCCAACTTTTCAGGGGAGAGATATAAACCTAATGATTGTGTGACAGAATTCTGAAGTGTTGGGACTGGTGACTGACTGGAAGCTAAGAAATTAGATGTGGGATCCAGCATGAAATGAGAATATGTATTAAGTGGAATACAGCAAAAAAATGGGGACAGAATCAAGTGACGATACAGACAATGACACTATTAGCCAAGTTAGGATTCAAATCCACATATACAATAGCAGTTAGTTTCTGTCATAGAAGAGGTTCTTAAGATCATAAGAGATAGTTGAAGTGAATTTGCATGTGCTACCACTTGTGGCAAATGATCATTTCTTAAGAAAGGGAAGTGAAATTCTTATTTTAAAACCAATAAAATAAAATGAAATACAAATTTTAAAAAGAGGGTAACAATTACTGCCTCCTACTGCTAAAACATATACCACACTACATTACAATACTTTCAAACTCAAAATCTTAATTAGAATCATCACACTGTCCGCTGTATACCAATTGAAATACACAAAACATTATCTAAAGACTGCTTATTCACCATTTCTTTTATAGCCAAAGCCAGTCAAGATTTCAGGACAATTTTTTAAATTCTCATATAGAACCCAGTAAAAGCAAAGTATTTAAAGGATAAACTGTAATTTCTTAAGCACTTAACATTTACTCATTCAATGAACATTTACTTAGAGCCTCTTATGTGCTAAGCATTAACAGACAATGACTGGGGTCCCTGCCCTTGAGGAGCTCACAGTCTAGAGAAAGAGTTAAACTCATAAACAATTATAATACATCATGGCAAGTGCTATAAGAAATATGAATATAAATAGTCTTATGGGAGCATAGATGACCACAGCTTCGCTTAAGGTGACACCTGACCTTGTTCTTTCATGAGTTCACCAGTTACCAAGGAATAAGATATGATACTAAAATGCAGGCCGGGCTATTATTTTGAAAGATCTTGCATGCCATGAGCTAAGGAGTGTGAACTTTATCCAGCAGGCAATGGGGGGCCATGAAAAAATTTTAAGTAAGAGAGTTACATGTTAAGATTTTTATTCTAGAATAGTGATTCTTAATGGTAGTGTGAATAATGGAGTGGTGGGAAGGTGTGAAGGGAGGGATTTGGTGAAAGGATAAATGGAGTTTGAAGGAAGAAAACCAGTTAGAGAGCTAATACAATAGTTCAGGTGAGAGATGTGGGCCTGAACTACTATGGTGGGAAAATCAATTAAGATGTACCAGTAATGTATTTTTAAATTTTGTGTACCAATATAAACAAGGATTCGTATTTAAACTTTTCCAACAGATCAACCTAAGATTTGTCCTTTGGCTATCTAGTTAATATTTTAAAAGTATTTTTTTTCTGTTGGAAAGACCAATTTTTAGTTCCTTGATTATTTCAGCTTACTCTAGAGAGTCTGCTGAAATTTTAGATAAGGCACACATTAAAATATATTAAAATGAATTAGTGAACTTCCTAGACTCAGACAATAAGGCACTCTCACTTACATGGCATGCTGAAGATTAGTTCGCAGTTTAACATAGCTCATTGCTGCTCTCTCCTGCTGTTGCCTTGCTTCCTCTTGTTGTCTTTGAGCTAACATCCATGTTACCTGCGTGCTTCAAGAAGAATTTTATTCTTCTTTTAACTTAACTTTTTTCTATGTAATTCATAAAGTTCTAGTACAGAAAATGAGCAAATCTACTTACTTATAATCAAGAGGTGTTTGATGATGCTCAGTCTGCATTGGATAAACACTCATGAAGCTATCTTCAGGCCGTAATCTTTTGGGTTCTCTCATAATAGTGGAGGTAAGCTGTGGTGTCTGCATCATAACAGGGGTGTGCAGTGTCTGTTCTCTGCTTAACCACATACTGTCACTACTACTGCTTTCTTCAGCTGAAAGGTAAAATGTACAGCAATGAAGTATAGCCACTAATTTTGACTAATCAGATTATTTAATACAACTCTTTCAGACCAACAAACATCTGGTTGGCTTTCACATGCTAGTGCAAGGAACAAGGTGATACAAAAGTGTGCCTACTGTTATAGTCTAGTCGTGGAGAAAGAACAAACAGGGAATTATAATACAGTGTGGTAAGTGCTAGGAGAAAGGGAATTCAAGGGGAATGGGAGTAGTATGATCAGACACAGCTACCTAAAAGTAACTTCTAACAAGAGTAGGTATCAAGTGGGCTGTGAAGGCAAGCAAAGAGAAGAATATAATAAAGAGTATCATGGCATGAAACAATGACTGAATCATATTAATCTTTTTGACATTTGACCTACAAAAATGGCAATTTCATTTAGTTCCAACTAATAGACTGCTACTGTTGGGGTCTAAACATGGAAAGAATGGGGAAAGATAAGACTGAATAAAAAAGCAGGAATCAATTTGTGGAAAGTCTTGTAATCTGTGCTAATGTGACAGACAGCTGCTGCTGAAAGTTTTAAGGAAAGTAAACAATTCAAGGAGTTACATGTTTTAATCAAAGAGTGACAGTATAGAGGGTAGACCTAAGAATAGTAAACGGGCCATATAGGAGAATGATTATATGGGCCAGGGGAGTGAGACATGGTACTAGGAATGGAGACAATAGGAGAGTGGTTCCCAAACTAACAGATGCAGTGTGCTTAGGTCTGGTCTTAAGAATTCTTAGCTGCAAAGGGACCACAAATCCATATGTACCTTAAGTATAATACTGCACTTAAAAAAAAAACAGGTTTCACACCTGCAAAAGCTATTTTTATTTCTAAATGTCTATAGGTGTTGCCATGATTAATAACAGGCTAATTCACATGTACATGTAAGTGAGAATAGTTGGTGACTGAAATTGAAGGAAAACTTTTATTAGAAGATTATGTATGTGTACATAAATATAAGTTTCAAAGAGCTGCAAGAAAAATGTGCTAATACCCTAGTAATGGATTAGACTCAAACTTCACATTTTATAATATAATCACATCATCCTTTGAGTTCAACTACGCATAAATGTTTCATAAAGCTTAATGGAAAGGAGGACTTTGATGGCCCAGTACAAATCTAGAACTATTGACAATTGCTTCAGATGAGAAAAGCTTTTTAAGATTTACAATTATATGCAGGAAACATCATCTTTTAATTTAGTGCTTTTTCTATTTTAAAAAAAGAAGAAAATTTAACTTATTAGCCATCTAGTTGTTGGACAAAAAACATTCCCATCAACTGTTGTAGTAGGACAATATAACCAACCAAGTCAAAAAGTGTTCAAGTAAAAGGTTTCAAATGGACAAGAGATACTAAAACTATCCATAAGATAATCAAGTTTTTTTAACACTATATTCCTGATAAATGATAGCTGATAAATTATGTGGCAATTAAAAAATATGATCCTCAAATTCTCTGACAGTCCTCACATTAAAAGGTGGAAGATTACATCCCTGTCCCTAGAATCTCTGAGAATGCTTGGCCAACAGACCATAGCAGAAATTATACTACGCCAGTTTCCAAGACTATGCTTTAAACTGGAAGCTTTCACTTCCTTTCTCTTCGAGTCCAGTGACATGCTGACATGGACAAGTCATGTGTAGGTGCCCTGCCAGACAGTCCAGCTGAGGTCATATATGTAAATAAAGATGACTTTATGATTTGAGCCACCAGCCTAAGTTACTTTTCAAGACACTATACATTATGATCCTTGCTATGATTTAAGTATTGAGCTAGTTTGTTACTTAGCAATAATCACTACAATAGATCTTGATACCTATTCTAATTTAAGGGTTCCTGAGAAAAGGGGGGAAAAAATCCCTGAACCCCATATTAAACAAACCTTGGAATGCTAGGAGCCCAAGAGCTTGAAGCATCAAAATGAGAAATCAAACATGATGATAGCACTTAGAATTTCTATCAAATTCTTTACAATTAATGACTTCTTCACAGAAAATCGAGGTTGCAAACTTGCTTGTATAATGAGTCCATTTCTTTTTGTATATAGTATAGCAGTGATTAAAAACAAGTGCTCTAGAGTCAGAATGCCTGGCTCTCCTACTTAATATCTATGTGACCTAGAAAAAGTTACTTAATCTCTCTGTGCTAGTTTCTCATTTGAAGATGTACCTGAAGAGTTATTCAAATTGAGTTTATATATGTAAAATTCCTAAAGCAGCACATTTACATATTACTGACACATTAAGCAAGTTATTATTGAACACATACAAAAGGAAAAATAAGGTCAATCTTAATTCAGTTGGTAAACATTCAAGATAAACATGAAGAGAACACTATCCTTACTGAGTGCAAGCTGCATGCCCTCAACCACTTTCCGTTTTCCTGTAGATGGTTTTGATTTTTTACTCCGTACAGTTGACCCTCGACTGCTGATTCCACTAATGACTGACATGGTATCATCATCACCACCAGCTAGCAAAGAATTTCTATAAGACATCAGTGGAAGCCATACATCTTCTCTTCGGAGTGACATCTGAAAGGTCATGAACTTTTCCAAGTAAACATACCTTAAAAAGAAGTAGAAACTGTTAACTTTAACACATAAAACTGCTAGTTCTATCAAACCTTAGTTGTGGGAGCATGGGTATTTTACTTCAGTACTCAATCATAGACTCAGAAGGACAATGATAAGCAATTTTATTTCTATCAAGACTCTCACAATATGTGAGTTAAGAACATTTCAGCTTAACATTTGTTGAGTATCTACTATGTCCCATGCATGGAAGAGAGATACAAAGACGAATCATATATGGTCCCTATTTGCAAAAAGTTTCGGCCTGGTGGAAATTGTAAATCTACTCTTGAATCCAAGTATCACAAGGATTATATGTAATTTTTCAATCAAAATTCAACTAACATTCATGTGACTAAGTGCTAAACATTTTTCTTTCGGTTGCTTAGCTATTCTTACAATTCTGTGAGGGAATATTCTCTCCACTTCACAGATGAGGAAAGAAAGGGTAAGAAAACTTAAAAAGAAATAATATACCCACAGTCATAAAAATGAATGAGCAGCATTACCACAATTCAGGTCCCAGGATCTCACACTAAGAGTTCAGTAAGGCTAAATTATGCTTAGAATAAATGAAGACAATTATTTATCAACTAATCATAAAGTACAATTCCAATATCTGTTGTCATTACAATGACTGATTCCAATTAATTCATTTATTAGCATAGGAGACATTAATTCGTTGAACAGTACAGCAGACATAAATTATAAAACATACTGTTTTATGATAATTGTTCAGTATGTCTTTTTAGTTACTGTAAACTTCAGTCATACACAGTAGCACTGTGTGGACTATAAACTATCAGTCTGGTGGGAACTCTTAGCAGTCTGCAACAAGACAGAGCTTGAGCTAAAGAATATTCACTTGAAGGAGATTTCTAACTGCATCCACCACATACTTTAATACAGTAGTACAGCTAAGCAGCCTTCACCAGAGCTAGTCCCATTTCTCTTTATCTCTACCCCAGAGGTTCCACTAACCTGAATTCACTATTTATTGTTTTAAAAATGTACTTGCCTGTAAACATCACAGCAGTTTTGTACTTTCCTATTTGTGTTCAACATTATGTTTTTTAAAATCTGTTTTGAATGCTGCATGGCATTACTTGATCTATCAACTTATTGACTTAATTGATAGATATTTAGGTTTGTTTTGAATTCTTCCCCAATTCAAACAATGCAAAACTCAGCATTCTTTTATGGCTTCCCTTGTGCATGTATTCAAAAGTTTTGTATGGTATCTACATAAGAATATAATCACTTGATCACAATCATGAGGTAAAAAGAATTCTAACCTTTACTAGGCACTGCCAAATAGCTCCACAAAGTGATTTTGTATCAATTTACATGGTCACAACCAATATAAATGGCACGTTATCAAAAGCTACAACTATGATGGGAGAACTCAAAACATCAAAATGGAGTATTATATATAGAATAGTCATAATCTTTAAATTATAAAATTTCTTAAGTATAAAATTTGTGTACATTGATGTAATTGTACAAATGTGTGTACAGAACAGACAGAAGTGTAGCGACTACTGTTTAAGAATTCTGAAATGAGGGGCTGAGGGTATAGCTCAGAACCAGATACCCGGTTTCACATGCATAAGGCCCTGGGTTCAACTCCCATATCTCAAAAATAAAAGAATGGCAGGGTATAGAAAAGAATCTCAAAATGAAAATTAAGTAGGACATTTCTATCAAATATACATACACTGTTCTTTTGTCTTGTCGAAGTAGTTTAGAAGAAAATTCACTCAGAATATCAAGAAATGCCAAATTTAAAGGTGGATGGCTCTCCCCTTGTGGATTAGGTTCTTTAAAAGCAAATTCTATGCCATCTCTGCAAAGAAAACAATTGAAATAAATATTTTAGAGATTATTTCACTGTACACTTTCTTTCCACTAAGATATTTGCTTTGTCATGCATAGGAGTAAAACTAATTATTAATGACTATTTGTAATGACTTAATTAAAAATGGTTTTAAAATTAAACTCTAATTAGAGCCCATTTCAAATACATTTATGTGATAACAAATACCGTTATTAAGACATTCCAACACTGTATCAAAAATGTAACTAGGGAAAAACAATCCAAATAGAACTGAAAAAGAAGAAGGCAGGCCATCACAGGAAGAAAATCATACATTACTTCTCAAAATAACTACTACATGTGTGATCCTTAAATATTACCTAAAATTACCACCAACATATTAAAAGGCACAAAAATGAATTTTAGAGTTTTAAAACAAGATGAAAGGAGAGAATAAATTAAACATGCAGGAGTTATGGGTAAAACATACAAGAATAGGAAAGACATTTAAGACTTTTTAAACTAAGTAGGCAAGAGGAATAAGGGAGACATAAAACATGGAGCTTTCAATGAAAGAGTTTAAGCCTCTTAAGTTTTCCCTAAAACGAGGTTCTTTTTAACCCATGGGGAAGGGACAAAGAGGTTTAATATACAAATGTTATGTTAAAAATCTAAAAGTATTCAATATTTTTAAAAGTTTAACTGATCACAAATTGCATGCCCGATATAAAAATCACATGATTTCCAATATTGATTAGGGGAAGAAATTATGCAAACAAAAAGGTTGATAAAAACAAGAAAAAAGGTCACTGCAAAATAGAATGCAGAACTAGAAAAACTGGAGACAAAGGAATCAAACCTCAAATATTTCTCCAATCTAGCAATGCGATTATGACAAAAAATGATGAGACTTTGTAATGCCTGATGAATACATGCTGCTTTGCTTCTCATAATTTATAGATATTTTACTGTTTTAATTAAAACAAAGACTTTCTTATGAAGGGAGTTTCAGTCCTTACGCATTTATTATGGTAAGTGAAACAGCATTATAACCGGTTCTTAAACTTAAGATAAAATATAGATTTATAAAAGTAATAAATTTAATTTAGTTATCCTAAATGAAAGGGCTAGACACAAAAATCTCATGATTAAAAACTACAGGTACTGAATAAAGTGTTTGGAGATTACTTGTGTAACATGGCAATGGCTTCTCTTGTTTTCAACTGATCAAGTCCAAACGTTAAAGCAAAACGTCGAGCAAGTTCTTTTATGCCGCTAAATGTTGAAGATGATCTATCAAAATTATAGCCATTTTCCTGTATCATTTCATTAAAAAGCTGTTTGGAAAGAAAGAAAGCATGTTAAAGTTTTTTTTATAATTATAGATTAACATCTTTTAAAATATGAGGATTTTCTACTTAAAATGTAGGTGGTCAGTAAATTAGGTACAGTGTTTTATCCTAAAACATGGATTTTTTTCAACGTGACATAAACAGCCAAAGGACCAAAATTTGAGCACTTCATATATTTAAACCAGAGGTCAATATTGATTTTAGAAACTCTTTAGATTAGTTTTCTCAGAATGCTATTCTGCTAGTATTAATTGGGTATTATACTGAGCATACGAAAATATAAAGAAAACCCACTGAATTGCTAAGCAACTATGACCTCATATTTACTTTTTTATGGCAGTGCTGGTGGATCATACCAGGGCATCCCACATTCTAAGTTATTATTTACAATTGGGGAATGAATTTGCACAGCAAGAACTTTCTTCACAAAACAAAGAACAACAATAACAAAAAATTTTTCATGATAAAGTAACAAAAGCTTTAAATTTTGAGGTCATTTGACTACACAATTCAAATGATAGGATTTTTCCCATAACAAATAAAATTTATGTGTCATACTATATAAAAAATATTTCAGTGCTACTTAAACTGCCAAAAATTATAAAAGATCTGAACATCAAACAAAAAGAGACCTTGATTAAATTATGGCCCATCTATAAAATGAAATATAATAGTTATTAAAAATGCTGAAGGCTAAGCCAGGTGTGGTAATACATGCCGCCAGCTACGTGAGAGTCTGAGGGAGAAAGATCACAGGTTCCAGCCAGAATGGACAATTTAGTGACAGCCTGTCTCAAAATTTTAAAAAGATCTGAGGCTATAGCTCAGTGGTAGCATAAATGCTTAGCCTGTGGCAAACCCCACAGTTCCATCCCGGGACCACAAAAACCAACAATATTCAGAGATAATTAAATCAGTACGTCAAAGAGATATCTGCACTCATGTGTTCACTGTACTATCATTCACCAAAGCCAAAATATACAACCAAGGTATGTATCCATCAATGGATGAATAAAGAACATGAGGTGTGCACACACATATACACGGAGAAATAATATGTAGCCTTCGAAAGATGGAAATTAAGTCATCTGCAAAAGCATCTTTGAAACTGGAGGATATTACATTAAGTGAAATAAGTCAGGCACAGAAAGACAAATACCACATAATTTCACTTATACATATATGGAACCTATAAAATTTGAATTCATAGAAGCAGAATAGAATGATGGTTGTCAGGGGATAGGGCAGTGAGACAGAGGGAATGAAGAGATATTGATCTAAGATTATAAAGTTTCTGTTTAGATAGACTAAGTTCTGGGGGTGAGTATAGTTAAGAATAGGGTATTGCAAGGCTTGGGGTATGGCTCAGTAGTAGAACATATGCCTTGTGCAAGGCAGTGGGTTTAATCCACAGCACCACAAAAGAAAAAACAAGAAGAAAGTATAATTTGGTATATACTTGAAATTTGTGGAACTCAAATTGTTCCTAGGACAAAAAAGCATCCAAAATAATGCATGTTAGATGTAATAATTTCACAATGTATACATATATCAAAACTTTATGTAATATGTTGTAAATATATATATATTTTGTCATTTATACCTTAATAAGACTCGGGAGGAAATAAACTCCTTACATCTCTCCAAATATTGTATTTCTGAAACTTTTAATAGCAAGCAGCTATTACTTTATAGCAAAAGAAAGTTAATACCCTTTTAAAAATCTTTCAAGTTTTATTAATTTTAACAAAGAATATGTAGATTGCAAATGAAATTTAGAACTTCCATGCTAATATTTCTAATAAGCAAGAAAAGTTTATCAAAGGGAATTGGGTGAAGTATGTTTTGCATGCAAATTTTGTCTCTGAAGACAAAAGTATTTGAAGCAATAATTTTCCGTAATTAAGCCTGTATTGCCACTGTCAAAATAAAAAAGACTGCTGTGCTTCGGTTGTAAAATTCTTATGTGCTCCCCAAAGTCTGGAAATACATGAAGAAAAAAATAAAATTCACTTGACATTGACCCAAACACAACTGCTAACACTTTGGTAATTATTTTTCCAGATAGACAGACATATATACAGTTTTATAAAGATGCCATTCCTATTACGTTTTTCTTTTATTCTTAAACTATGTATTAAAAGATTTTATACTTTAATGAATATATATCTACACTAATTTTAAGTGCTACATAATAGCCATTGTAGGAATGTACTGTATGTTGATCTAATATCCTATTGATAGTTTTGGATTATTTCTAACTTCTTGCTATTATAAACAATGTTGCAATGTATAAACTTATACGCCAATTTTTACAGATTTGCTCTATTACTTTAGAATACATTTTAAAAAGTAAAATTGCTGGCCAGGGATTTAGCTCAGTGGTTCCGCCTGCCTTGCAACCACAAGGACCCGATTTTAATCCCTGGTACCAAAAAAAAAAAAAAGTAAAATTGCTGCCTCAAATGGCATGAATGTTATAAATTTTTACATGTATTACCAACCTACCCACCTACCTATTTTTACAGCTAAACGGGCTACAGGTCTTCTCAGTCTTGCCAGTCAGAAAACAAATAATTATCTCATATTTCTTTGTCTATCAATGAGGTTGAATAGTTTCTATTTCTACATTTATGAATTATCTATTGCATCCTTTGCCTTATTAAGTGTTAATGATGTTAGCTAAGCTGGTACTCTTAATGTCTTACCTGTTGCAAACTGAGAATAAGGGTCTTAGCACACTGAATTTTGTCTATTTGCCTCGTTTTACTCATTGTTTCTTTGATGATATCTCCATAATCATTATAATACTAGAAAAGAAATTTACACAGATTAGTAGAGTTTTATCTCTTAATACTATTGCACAATAAAGCTAATATCAGGTTAGGCCCATGAGCATGTCACTAAGAACTATATGTATCTGGCAAAATTAGGCCCTCAAAGACATAAAAGAATGTTACTGTGGGCCAAGGGGTTTAGCTCAGTGGTGCAGCTGCCTGCCTCACAAGTGCAAGGTCCTGAGTTTGATCCCCAGTAGCAAAAAAACAAAAAAAAGTGGGGGGGGGGGGATGTTACTGAAACTTTAAGATTACTTCTAAGCATATAATTCCTAACATCAGTCAATTCAGAAATACAAAACAGTTAAGACCTAATCAAATTAAACTCGAAGTTTTGTTTTAAATAAAGTAGACATGAAATAAAATAATTAGGTCATACAAAGTTTCAGAAGTAACAGGATATAAACAATGTTCTCTTTATAAATTATAAAACAATGAATGTAATCATGTTTACTCTCAAACCTAATTCATTGCTAATGGGGATGTAGGCCATGAGCAGCATATAACTATTATCCTGATTTATAGACACTAACAGGTTGTAAACAACATTTAAAATAAAACTTGTTGTGACATTTGCGCTACATATTGCACGCGAACTTTTTTTCTAATTTAAGATGGTGATCAAAATACATGAGTATTTGAGATAATAGGCTAAACATGCCCCTACGGCTAATTACTTTAATCCAGAATACCTAAGTATGTAAGTTTAAAATTTGTTAAATAACTTCATAAACTTTAGTTTAAAAATTACCATGCCAAATGATTTAAGTTTCAAAATAATTTTCAGTGATGCCATGGCTCTTTCACATAGCAAAACATTACAAATAGAGGACTACGTTCTGACAAATTTACTAAGTATATCTTATTTGAGGGCAAAGGCCTTAAAAACTTTCTATGTATAATTGGTTTTTGCTTAATATTTAAAATATCAACTTACCATATTTAGTTACATCCTATGTAACTAACCATATCCTCTCCTACTTCAAATTAAGACTATCTCCTACATTTATAAAATTTATGAATAATCTACTATGAATCAAGTCAGATTTTGAAAGCTAAAAGGAGTCTTATAGGTCCTGTGAAGTGAAACTAACAAAGAAACTCAGGATGCAAAAGGTATTGAGTGACTCAAGTTCATAAGCTCCATAGTAACCAAGTTAAAACTGCCACCTAGGTCTCCTGACTCCAAATATAACACTTTTTAATGCTAAATAAAGCGGGGGGGGAACATCTCCCTGTTATCTTCAGCTAAATCACAAATGTAATTTTCTTTTCTAATAGTTACAGATAACATCTAATATTCCCAGTATAAATGATCACAAATGAAAACTCCACAAATTGGAAGACGGAAGATATAATAAAATGTTAAATATTTTAAAATACACATATTTTAAAGGAAAAGTAATTTACTATTTAAAAATTTCAGTAGCAACCAAGCATAAAAGCCTGTGTTACAATTTAAGCATTTAAAAACTAACATGTTATACCCATTTTTCAACTTTACCTTCATATACTGCTTGAAGATATCTGCAGCTGTATTCATCTCTACCACAGTATATACAATTAGCTTACAAAATGCTGCAAGTAAGTTTCTCCTCTTGTGCAAAGCTTCAATTTTACTGGCTTCATCCTCTTGCTGACCATCTAGGGAAAAAGTGTCAAAAACTAAGATATTTTAATCAATCATTTTTAATTCATAGTACATTCTAACCATTTTATTGGCGAGCTTAAAAGTGGAAAAAACAATGAAATCAGTTACACTAAAAACTATTTTTGTAACATCAAACAATAAATTAAGAGGATTGTTTAGTGAATGTGAAACAGAAATAGTGAGTCAGAGGAAATGATGTTTAGGGAAGTCAGGCAAAGCTTGCCCAACACATTCTTATACTTCCCTGACAAGATTGTTTGTCAGTGTGATCAGCATATTCAACATCTTTTGATTAAGGCTTCTTCTTTCTGAAATCAACCAACCTCAAAATTCTCTTATTCCTTCTCACCTTCCATTCTATTTATGTACTCCTCTTTTAGATATATTAAATATGATTCTATTGCCCTGGCCTAGAAACCATTCTGTCTTTTCAAGATAATTTCACATTTCTCTGTTGCCATCCATTATGGAAAATCTGACCATTCAATTTCAAGAGGACAGACTTATTTTTAAATGAATAGTCAAGGAAGACCCACTGCAATCCAAGGATTGCTTCTAATCATCTGATAATTTAAGTAAAACTGTGTTGTGTTTTACATAAAAAGCTGTGTAGAGAATTTTCTTCTAAATGGAATTCAAAAACAAAATTACTTATTTTTAAAAACATCTATCTCTATAGGGTAAAAAAAATCTTATTTCTTTACATTTTTTGGTTACTGGTTTTTTAGTGACATTAAAGATTTGTGTATTTTGTTAGCCATTTGTAGCTCATCTTTTGTAAATACTTGGTTCATACCTTGTCACTTCAATTTAAGATTCCCAACATCAAAAAAATTAAAAAATTGTTATTTACTGATTTACTTTTTGTTTTGTTTTGATTTTACCTTGCCACTTGTAATCCTTGGCAATTGCTAATAAATTAAAACCAGAAACATTTTCTTGGTGCTGAAAATTGAACCTAAGCCCTCAAGTACACTAAGCACATGTTGCATCATTGTGCTATACTCCCAGTCCCTAAAACCAAATTTTAAGAATAAAAATTTTAAAAATTAGATATCACATGTTTTCTCTCACATGAAAAATCTATAAATGAAAAAATACAATAAACGAGAGATGACAGGAAACAGGAAGGTAGAATTTTAGAGACAGGGAAGGAGGTCGGCGGAGGAAGGAGGAAAGGGAAAAGGAGTAATGGGGTAGAAAATAATCAAAATGCTAAATGCATCTACTAATATATCAAATTAAACCCCACTATTCTGTATTACTGGTATGCACTAGTTTTATCATATGTTCCAGTATGTCAAAGTCATTTGCTTAAATGCCTAAAAGGTATCGTTCACTCTTTTAAAAGATCACACTGAACACATATAAGCTAATCTTTTCTTGACAACTCTCATTATACTGGCATATTTCTACATGATAGTGTTTCCAAGCATTGCTTAGCACCGCTCACAAGAACTAGAGGCACAGACTTCTTTCCCCTACAGACTAAATTGCCCTAATTTAAGAAATTTAAACTCTACTTCTTATTTTTTCTCTATTTCTTATAAAAAATTAGCCATCGTGAGCCGGGGATTTAGCTCAGTGGTGCTGATCCCTGCCTTGCAAGCACAAGGTCCTGAGTTCTATCCCTGGTACAAAAAAGAAAAGGAAAAAAGGAAGAGAGAGAGGAGAGGAGAGAGAGGAGAGAGAGGAGAGAGAGGAGAGGGAGGAGA